TGATTCTTGTTTTGTGCTGTTGACACACTGTATTAGTGCGTTGTCATACACACCCTAAATAACGCACTTTCAATCCACTTCCAGTGTGCTTTGCAACTGGATTTTACTATGTTAAAACGCAAAATCCACTTGCAAATGGTCACCAAAGTGGATTGAACCTGCATTATTTGGCATGTGTGAAAGTGCCTTTATTAGTCTAGAATATGGCAGATTGTGGTGTTCAATCTTATATCATCTTTGGGGGGGCTAGCTCCTTTCTGACACAGAATTCCGCCCTGTCTAGAGCACAAAAGCAGTCCCTGAATATGTTTCATTGCCTTTGTTCACCTTCAGCTTGTGGGATTTGGAGGTATAGTGCATCTGAACATGGAGGTTCCATTTATCTTTCATGACTAGTTGCCATCAGTAGCCTTCTCCTCCATGTGTTTGTGCAAACTATTCTGAAAAAGCCACCTTTGCTAGGAAGCTGTTATTGCACCTTGGGGCAGTGAGTTCCATAAGTGCACTGTGTCATTCAGAACCTGAAATACGTGCCATCGTGCCCTCCTCCGAAGGGCAGGAGGAGCATCAGGAACCTACCGGATTGTCACAGCTTCCATTTCACCACCTGCCGTAGGTGCAGCTCACTCTCGGCAGCCACAATTGGCTGTTGGTTTTGTAGGTGGTAGTTAATGAGGTGGCTGATGCTTTCGAATAAGGCATCCTTGGTTCTCACCTGGGATGGCAGAAGAGAAAAAGGGCTTAGCCTCTGCTTGGCAGGAGGGTGCAGGATCTGGCTTTGCCGTCTGGCTTCATCTGAGCCAGTGGTCTGAACAGAAGGAAAGAAAATCTCGCGCTGAGATGGCGGAATCGTTGTAGCCCCACCCTTCCTCCTCTAACCACGCCCACTCAGCAGCTCCACCAGGCCCCCATCTGTGGCCACACCCTTTCTTAAAGAACAAGAAAGTCAAATCATATAAGGAAAGTACCTCTGAGCACACGCAGAGTGTCTTCCCCTTAACTCCGAGGAACCACAGCTCTGAAACCATCGGCATGCACTCTGAATAGAGGAACAAGGCTTCCTTTCACAGCAGATGGCGGGGCCCCCACCCAGGCCTTGGCCCCTCACATTTCTTTTGAGAAATGAAGGTCTGCCCCCATCTCTTCCTTGCCAACATTCTGAATCCCCCAAAATATTACGTTTTAGAGAAGAAGAGACTGAATTTATACCCCACCCTGCACTCGGAGTCTCAGGGTGGCTTACAATCTCCTTCCCTTCCCCTCCTCACAACAGACACCCTGTGAGGTAGGTGGGGCTGAGAGAGCTCTTTTGAGAACTGCTCTTGAGAGAAAAGCTCTGACAGAACTTGTGACTGACCCAAGGTCACACCAGCAGCTGCATGTGGAGGAGTGGAGAATCAAACCCCGTTCTCCCAGATTAGAGTCCACACTCCTAGCCACTACATCAAACTGGCTCACAGTCATGTTCCCCGTATCATCCCCAAAACTCAAGCTGGCACCCCAGGGCTTCCCAAATGTCAGACAGTGAAAACCCAGGGTTTCCCCTAACCTTCAATGAAAACCAGAGGAATGCTACGCTCAGCACCCAAAAAGATTTACGGGTAAATCCCCAAAGGGGAAGAACAACCCATTTCCAGGACTCAGATAAAGTTTTATTCCTAAGCACGGTTCCAGATTGGAAGGAATAGTGAATGTAGAAAGGTAACGAGCAGCTTCCATTGGGAGCAGCTCATTCTGGTTCATCTCTGCACAGAATGTGACTGGATCATGGGATCACTTTGTTTGGAGTGTCAGAGCAGACATACAGCTGGGGGTTCTCTCAAAGGGATCGGTGGCTTGGTTGGGTGGACCATTCCCATGAGCTGACCTCCCATGCCTTTGAGGGCCCCAAAAGCAAGGCCTCCATTACCCTTCCATGTCAGCTGCTTACCACTCCTTCGGGATCCACCAGGAGCAAATGTTTGGGTTGCCCATTGTGCATGCCTGTCAGGACGTACTGGCCAGGGTTGGTAATGCTGTCCCTCACGAGGAAGTCCCCATCCATCTGCAGCAACTTCTCCGCATCCCGACGGCTCATCTTGCCATGGTACCAGGGCTCCTGCTTCAGCTGATCTTCTGTGGGGGCGATCGGGGCCTTCCGGGTTGGGGGGCTGGGCCACTGGTCCTCGATCAGGGGGCTGCTATCCCCCCCGCAAGCTGACATGGACTCATGAAGCTTTAAAGCATCTTCAAAAGGCCCTGAAGAAGAAAGAGATTGGGTGTGCTCGGATGTGATTACAGCTTTCCAAAGGCAGCTTTTCTAAGACCATCCTGTGTGGTCTGAACAGTACAAATGTCATCGTATTCAGCCTGGTGAGAAGCTCAGCTTAAAACTTCTAAGTCTTTTTGGCTCAAGGGCTCACTACAGAAGAGGACTGGGACATTCAAATTGGAGGAAGATGGGATGGCAACATGATCAGACTCAGTTTGCTACTGGCTGAAAGTGGTCCTTTGGGACAGCATCCCACCAGGAATTTCCCCAGAAAGTTGAGCCAGTCCACAGCTAGATAACCTTAAATTTCAGCCTCATCCAGTCCCCGTTGCGGAACTATATCAGGAAAGAACCTCTGGAGAACTTTCTCTTTGGGAGTTCTTGGCAGATGAGGGAGGAAGACCCCAGGGTGTAGTGCCTCTTCCTGGAGGACATGGAGCTATGTGGTGTAGTGGTTAGGGTACTGTACTAGGACTTGGGACCACTGGGTTCAAAACCCTCACTCAACCATGGAAGCCTGCCAAGTGGGCTTGGGCCCATCACAATATCTCAGCCTAGCCTACCTCACAAGGTTGTTGTTGTGAGGATTAAGTAGAGGAGAGGAAACAATGTGAAAAGCCACTTTGAGTTGCAGATCAGAAAGAAAAGTGGGATATAAATTAAAAATAAGCATAAATAAAAATAAGACGTGCTTTTCTTGGATACTGGGGACTTCTCCTTCAGCTCCTGCTATCCCACCGTGGCCACCACGTTGCTTTGAAGGGGGGTGGCAGGTATAGTCTCGCTAGTGCACATACTCAAGAACCAGGGTGTTACCACTGATCTTTGCCCATCCACACACCATCAGCCTTCTTCTGATAGGTGCTGGAGGGACTAGGAGGACTACCTGCTGGTCGTAGCTCTGCATACTGCTTGGCTGTGCCCTGTCCGTCACCCTGACGGCTTGTCTCCAGTTTCAGACTCCTGGGACACATGCATGAAGCTGTCTCATACTGAATCAGACCATCGGTCCATTAAGGTTGATATTGTCTACTCAGACTGGCAGCGCTCTCCAGAGTCTCAGGCAGAGGTCTTTCCCATCATCTACTACCTGACCTTTTTAACTGGAGATGCCAGGGATTGAACCTGGAACCTTCTGCATACCAAGCAGATGCTCTGCCACCAAGCCATGGCCTCTCCCCTGCCTGCCAATACTTGATGTCCCTTACAGTAGAGATCCAGGGCTAACAGACACACAATACTTGATGCATAAAATGCAAATCTGTTCAAATGGGCTCAATCACCTGGTACAGAATTTGGAAAACCAACCCCCAGCTTTACCATCTGCATCCCCTAAATTCATGCTAAAACTCCCCCCCAATAACTTTAAAAAATCTTTCTCCCCCCCCCCCGCTGTAATTAGTATGTTTTCTTGCACCTTTCTTATGTAATGCACCCGGAGCATCACTCTGAGTGGGCAGATGATATTAATAAAATTATTATTCAACTTTGCAGGGTGGGAGTAGTGTTGTGTTTTGTGCTCCCAACACTTGTGCTTTAAACTTCAAAATTAGATGCAGAGCCCTCCCCATCTCCGCCGGCCCCCTCTCTTACTCATATCAAACAGGTCTTTGGGGGGGCTCTCTTCAGGCCCTCGGTGCCCCCCGGCATCTGCCTCGCTGTTCTCCAGATTCTGGGTGTTCACGTACATGTGCTCTTCATAGTCGCGGGAGCACAGCAGCTTCCCATCTGCCTGCAGGTAACCGTCGCAGCTCTGGCCTGGAAGACACGGCCACACCCGAGTTAGGCAGCCCACCCGAGTTAGGCAGCCCACCCGAGTTAGGCAACCCACCTCACCCCCAAGGGACGTCTCTACAGCACAGAGTGCCCAGGAAGAACTAAGGGGGCAGCATGGCCGAGGGGGACTGCGGAAACCTGCTTCTGAGTCCCCACTTAGCTCACGAGCTGACCTTTTGGCCTGACCCCTCTCAAAGGGTTGATGTGAGGTATAGTTGCCAGCCTCCAGGTGCCACCTGGAGATCACCGCTATTAGTTTCCCTGGATAAAATGGCCACTTTGGAGGATGGCCCTGATGGCACTATCCCCTGCTGAGGCCCTCTCCCTCCCCAAATCTCACCCTCTTCAGGCTGTACCCCCAAAATCTCCAGGTGTTTCCCAACCCAGAGCTGGCAACCCTTATGTGAGGATAAAAATCGGAGTTTATGACGACACGCCCCAAAGTCATGCACTAAAATCCAATTTGGCAACAAACCCGAACCTCTAAAAATAAAGAAAAGCTGGAACACCAGCCCACAGCAGCTCACATGTGAACACAGAGCTCCCCCATACAAAGAAGCCGGTCCCATGCAGCACAAAACCCTCAGCGGGAAGAGAAAGTTATTTCAGAGAACACAGTCTGGAAGGAGGGACTGCTGGGCTGAACGGAATTGCCACATGGATTTGGAGGACGGGGAAACTGTCTCCCTCTCCTGCCACCCAATCTCCTGGCGAGAGAGTCCTAGTTGCCGCCACCACCCTTAAGAAAGCCCTTTCAGCGTTCCGAGTGTGCCTGCTACCTCCTGATCCTTATAACAGCCCTGAAAGGGAGGCTGCTATTGCTTAACCCACCAGGCAAATGAAATAAAGAGTATAAGCTGGGGAAACTCGGGTTAGCTGTCATCGGGCACCCTGTGTGCGTCTTCCTCTCCCCCCCCCCCCACATAATAAACATTATGCCTACCATGTGGATCAGCGTCCCAGTGCAAATTTGAGTGACTGCTGTGGTCTCTCCTGGCAGGACTTCCAACCTGTGGGACAGAAGATACGGGAGTCACCACCTCTTCCGAAACCAGGGCCACACAAGTTTGAGAGCTATCAGTCACGGGAAGGCTCTCTTCTGTTTGGAGATGAATGACTCCCTGAATGAGGAATCTTCATTCATATGCAAAGTTTATTACAGTCACTGGCAGGTAAGTGTGTGTGTGTGTTTTGCTAGCACTGTGAGCTTTACCAGGTCGGCTGACCCACTGAAGCTGTAATTCATTAGTTGGTGAAGGTCTCCCATTTGCTGGAGGTATTGAGGTACAAGAAGATGAGGTCACATTGACAGGTGATACTTTTCTCCTTCTTGCTGTCGGGGAGCTTGATCTGCAGGTCTGAACTTTGCAGGCCAAACCCTTCTCCGAGCTGCAATGCCTCCCCCACCCAGCGGCCTCAGTCAAGGTTGCCAGCTCTGGGCGGGGAAATTCCTGGAGATTTGGGGGGTAGAGTCTGGGGAGGGCAGGGTTTGGGGAGGGACCTCAGCAGTTTACGGTGAGTCCACCCTCCAAAGTAGCCATTTTCTCCAGGGAAACTGATCTCTATTGTCTAGAGATCCGTTATAATATCAGGTGATCTCTAGTCCCCACCTGGAGGTTGGCAACCCTAGTCTTGGTCTTGGTCAGGCGAGGGATGCACCAAGTTGCCTTCTAGGAAGGCCGGGCAGTGGTCCATCTAGCACAGAACGGTCTCTTGCGGTTGGCGAGTCCTCCGACACTGGAAGGTCTCTCTCTATTACCGGCCAGCTGAGAGTATTGAATCCATGGGGGACTGAACCTGTCTCATAGCGAGTGAGCCAGAGGCCTTCTCTGTGCTCCCAGGGGGCTGCCCTGGGCTTTGCATGGGCTGCAGGCAACAGTGACTGCACCCCAGTCGACACGGGTGAAGCTGCCTTCTGTTGAACCAGACCCTCAGTCCATGAAAGTCAGTCTTTTCTACTCAAACTGGCAGCCATTCTCCAATCTCTTGGGCAGAAGTCTTTCCCATCACCTCCTGCCTGGCCCTTTTTAACTGGAGAAGCTGGGGATTGAACCTGGGACCTTCTGCATGCCAAGCAGGTGCTCTACCCATACTGAGCCACTGTCAACTCTTATTCCTTTCCCTCGCTCCCCCTTGGGCCTCATTCCCATAAACTCAACCTTCTGGATCCCCACACAGCTGGTATGCTAGGCAATGGCTTCAAGAAGAAGTCTATTTATTCATTCATAAGCCGCCTTCCTCCCCAATGGAGCTTACACAGCTCTCCTCTCTTCTGTTTTATCCTGTGAAGTCGGTTAGGCAGCAAGTGCATGACCAGCCCCCCAGTGAACTTCCACGGCAGAGCAGAGATTCAAATGTGGGCCTCCCAGATCCGAGTCTGGTGCTCTAACCACTGTGACACACAACCCTATCAGTAAGAATGCAGTTCCACAGTGGGATCCTCTGCAAAGTGGCTGTTGACCCTGGAGGGCTGGGACCGCAGGGGACTGCACGGCCAATCCAGTTTGATTTGATTGATTCGGAAAGGGGTTCGTTTTTTAATGTATCCTTCTTAAATTAATGACCTTTTCTTCGAGAGAGAGCTAATGCAGATAAATGAACTGAACAAACGGGTTATAAAGGCGGTCCGTCATCTGCAGCTCTTTTGTGGGTTGCCAGCCCTGGTGAAGTTTTGCCCACTACAGACAAGTGGCCTGCAGCTGACAACGAAGTCCCCTGCGCCAGGCTGAAGCAGAAGTGAGCCCGGAGCCCTTGATCTTGCCAGCGATCTTCCCTTGGTCTTGGTTTTCCAGAGTGGGCGAACAGCCAGCCAGTGGTGTACGCAGGTCCTAGGTCCCCTTTCATTCAAATGAGCTCTGGGAATTGTTGCACAATGCCCAGGTGTGCACAGCTCCTGTCCGAAGCAGGATGACAGCACGTGGCGATGGGGGTTAAGCCGTCATGTACCTCACTTTCCTACCCAATGGGGCAAGGTATGCCAGCCTCCAGGTGGGTGCAAACCAAAGAGAGAGATCACGGGACGGAAGTTGAGAAGAAGCAAACAACCGTGATGTATTATGCCAAAACAAGTCTCCAAAGACTAGAAAAAGAAGAAGAAGAGAAGACATGGGATTTATACCCCGTCCTTCACTTGGAGTATCAGAGCGGCTTACAAACTCCTTTCCCTTCCCCTCCCCACAACAGACACCCTGTGAGGTGGGTGGGGCTGAGAGAACTCTGACACAAACTGCTCTTTTTCAAGGACAGCTGTGCCAGAGCTTGTGACTGACCCAAGGTCACATCAGCAGGTGCAAGTGGAGGAGTGGGGAATCAAACCCGGTTCTCCCAGATTAGAGTCCACGCACTTAACCAGAAATGAGATACTATTAGAGAGTTTGTCAAATGGATTAATATTAATTATATTTTTGTAATTAAATATAGGTATTTCAACGCTACCCACTTTGATAAAGGTATACACGAAACGAGATACAATATGCATGGTCCGTCGGTGTTGATGGCGTTTGAATTGCTTCCAGTAAACTGAATACTGGAAAAGGAAATTTCTAGTCTTTGGAGACTTTTTTGGCATAATACGTCACGGTTGTTTGCTTCTTCTCAGCCTCCAGGTGGGGCCTGGCGATCCCCCAGAATTACATACAGCTCATCTCCAAGCTATAGAGATCAGTTCCGCCTAGAGACAATGGATGCTTTGGAAGGAGGACTCTGTGGCATTGCACCCCACTGAGGTCCCTGTCCTCCCCAGGCTCCATCCCCAAATCTCCAGGAGTTTCCCATCCTGGATCTGGCAACCCTACCTCCCCATCGCCCACCCAGGAAGACACTGTTTGTCCCACTGGTAGCGACACGTTTATGGGTGAGCTACATGGCAGTTTCCCCAGTTCCTGGTTCCTGGGAGCAATTTCATGTTATGAAAAGGGCACGCTTGTGCCCTATCTCCCTATGCACCATGGGCCCAAACCAGATTGGGCTTCTGCACATCCAGGAATTAAGTTCCGAACAGGAACTCCCAGGGCACATCTGATCAGAAGGACCGAGGCAGAGGACACAAGGTTGTTACAGCATGTGACTCAGCCATAAGTAACGGGACGGGATGCAATCCCTCCCTCTATGTCAGTCTCACTCTGCTGCCTCCCCCTATCTAAAACCGGAGAGAGTAAGATGAACTCTTGACAAAATATTTTCGAAACGGCAGAAATGGATATATTGTCTGACTCGCTGAAAGACCGAAGTACAAGATGTGAAAGATATTTGGACACCATTTTAGGATTGGGTGAAAAGCAATTCTGAACATCAGGAATAATGAGTACATAAGAACATAAGAACATAATCGGGATAAATTTAACTTGAATTGCGCAGAACGTATACTTTTTTCAGGAATCACAATAGAAGATTTTAGCGATCTGATTAATCGATATTAGTTTTTGAAATTATATAAAGGAAAGAGATCTGAAAACAAAGATTTAAGATGAAAAATCTGTAACCACTATTGTATAAGCTTGATAGAAATTTTCCTACATGCCTTATCCCATGCCGTATGTCCTTCCCTTCCTTTAGTGTCATATATAATAGGGAAAACCTAATAAAAATCTTATAACTAAAACTGGACAGAGTGGGCTCCTCGAGAGGTCCTCGGCAATGCGCCCTCTAAGCTGTGGGGTCTTGTGAGCAAAAATTCTACTTGGTGAGCTCCTGGCATTAATGTTGTGAGCGAGCAATTCGGCTACTGCATAAGTTAGTTTGCTCTGGAGCCATCCTTCCTGAGCTAAGACAAAAAAAAATGTGTAAGCCGGAGGCTAGAAAACTGTGAGCTAACTCACACTAACTCAGCTTAGAGGGAACCCTGGTCCTCAGTCATGACCTCAGAAGAGGCATCTGTCCTGCTTCCGTTTTTAAATGGAGGCATCAGGTGGTCAGACTAGAATTAGAGAGGTCTGGATTCGAACCCCCCACAGTTCATGGGTCCTGGCACTGTGTCTCCGCCTGCAGGGCTGCTGTGAGGAGGGAATGGGGAGAGAAGAGCCAGGCAGGTGGGCCGGAGCTTGGACACAGGGTGGGATACAGACGAAGCAGGCAGGCTCTTGGAAGGACCTGTCTCAAAACAGTCTGAAGCGTTCTTGAAATCTACTACCCAAGTATTTGAAGGGCTGTCATGTAGGAAATGGTGTATATCTATTCTCTCTCGCTCCGGATTGCAAGACTAGATCTAATGGGTGGAAATAACAAGGGAGTCGTTACCGGCTAAATATCAGGAGAAACTTCCTATCTGTAAGAGTGGTCGAGCAGCGGAACAGACCGCCTCGGGAGGTGGTGGAGGCTCCTTCGCTGGACGTTTTCAAGCGGAGGCTGGACGACCATCTTTCGGGTATGTTGTAGGGCTGTCTTTTGGATGTGCTCCTGCAGAGTGCAGGGGGTTGGACTAGATGGCCTGCAAGGTCCCTTCCAACCCTAACATTCTATGATCCTATGATTCTACCCAGTTTATCTGGGGGCCTGTGGTGGATTGTTTGATTGATCTGGGGATTTGGGGGTTGGTGGTGGAAAGGGCCATCAAGTCGCGGCTGACTTAACGGTGATCTCAGAGGGTTTTCAAGGCAAGAGACAAACGGAGGTGGTGTGCCATTGCCTGCCTCTGTGTGACGACCCTGGTACTCCTTGGGGGCCTCCCATCCAAGTACCAACGCCTGGTATTCCTTGGGGACCTCCCATCCAAGTACCGACCAGGGCTGAACCTGCTTAGCTCCTGAGATGTGACAAGATTGGGCCAGCCTGAGCCACTCAGGTCAAGCTAAGAGAAGCACAGAGGTGGTTTTGCCCTTGCCTGTCTCTGCGTAGCCACCCTGGACTTCCCTGGTGGGCTCCCATCCAAGTAGTAATCAAGCACGGCCTAGCTTCTGAGATCTGACAAGATCAGGCCAGCCCGGGGCCAATCCCGGTCAGGGCGCTTTTGTGATTACCAAACGTCTTTTAAAACCCAGAAAGACCAGACATTGCAGCCCTATACGGCACCTTTGTTTTCACCTGGCCGGCATGGCTGCTGCACGAAAGCTGCGTGGCTGCATGGCAGAGGGAGATGCCGTGCCAGAGGCGGGAGTCCACCAGGCCCCCAAGAGGCGGCTCCTTTCCTGGGATGCTGTTGTAGTAGTCGTGTTCAGAGGCCTCGTCATCCTCGCCCCAGGTGGTATCTTCTGTTCCCATTGCTCTGACCAGAAAGGGAAAGGGAGAGAATATTGCTGGGTGTTTTGGCAGGGATCATGCAGTGCAGAAAGCGTTGCCTGCATTCAGAGCAAGCCCGCAGTTGCAGTGGGGCATCTTGAGGCCTGGCCCCCTGACTTACCAGTTTGGTGTAGTGGTTAAGTGTGCGGACTCTAATCTGGGAGAACTGGGTTTGATTCCCCACTCCTCCACTTGCACCTGCTGATGTGACCTTGGGTCAGTCACAAGCTCTGGCACAGCTGTCCTTGAAAAAGAGCCGTTTGTGTCAGAGTTCTCTCAGCCCCACCCACCTCACAGGGTGTCTGTTGTGGGGAGGGGAAGGGAAAGGAGTTTGTAAGCCGCTCTGATACTCCAAGTGAAGGGCGGGGTATAAATCCAATCTCTTCTTCTTCTTCTTCTTCTTCTTCTTCTTCTTCTTCTTCTTCTTCTTCTTCTTCTTCTTCTTCTTCTTCTTCTTCTTCTTCTTCTTCTTCTTCTTCCTCTTCCCGCCAAGGCCCCCCCCTTCCCATCCAGCCCAGGCACTCCCTGGGGGGGTGTGCAGGGGTGTGGGGGGGGCCCCCTGACTTATTTAAAGGCCCCCCAAATTAAAAAATCCTGCCTACGGGCCTGGTCCAGAGGGCAACAATTCTCCGCGGACCTCTCACTGCAGAGGCGTTCAGGGTAGAAACGGCATTTTCTGAGTTCTCTTTCACTGGCTGCCGCCGCCTCTCCCCTGCACCACCTCTACAGGGACAGACAGCAATGACCATTAAGCGCTCTGGAGTAGAGGAAGGGAAATGAGGGCCACTGGGGGTGAATAGCACAAATGCAGGGTGGGAGTTTTTGAAAAGCACAGTTTCCCATTCGCATGGCATGCAGATGCACTGTGGCATTTAAGGAAGGAACAGAGCAAAGTGGGTGAGGTGGAAGTAAAAAAAGAAAATCTGGAAAGTCAGTGATTGGCAGATGACAGTGTGGACAATTAAAAACAAACACCAGGGCTGTGCACTCAGATGTTCCTCAGCCGGAGGAGAAGAAGAAGAAGAAGAAGAAGAAGAAGAAGAAGAAGAAGAAGAAGAAGAAGAAGAAGAAGAAGAAGAAGAAGAAGAAGAAGAAGAAGAAGAAGAAGAAGA